TGGTTTGTGGCGCGGCCGAGGGCGGGGCGGTACGTACGCCAGTCGGCGGTAGTGGTTGAGCCACTCCTCCAGCAGCTGCGCCTGCAGCAGCGGGCGCGGCGGCAGCGCCTGGCGCGCCGCCAGCACGCCGCGCCACTCGCCCGCCGACACCCAGCGCCGCACCACGCTCTCCGGGTCCGACATCTGCACACACGCGCCACAAACCAAACTTACTACGAGTTTGTTTTAAGTTTAAAGTAATCGTAAAGTATTCGATATCGCGGACTTAAACGTCGATATTAATGTCGTCTATAGGACTATACAGTACATCTAAAGCGGGCTATCCGAGTCACAGAACATAATTATAAAGGTTAGAATGGCCTTGTGGGCGGTACACGCGTGTGGCTGTTTTGAGCAAATTCTCCGAATCTACCAAAATGTCAAAAACCGGCCATCAGCGTACGGAGCTCCGCAAATAATATGAATTTTCCGTCTTGGACTATTGTAATGTGGCGGGAAAGAAGCCAAGTGTGCAATGTAGCACGAGAAGGGATTTATTTCCACCAGTGACTCCAAAAACATTAATATATAGGTACTTGTGATATTTGTAATTATAACATTAATATTATGACGTTTGTAGACAAAAACGACATTATCGGAAGCAGAAGAATAGTAATTACATTGCTTGCAATAGATGCGTACCATTTTGCACTACATAAACGATTGCGATGTATTACGTTCACAACGAGAGTCCCGAGTACCTACCAAATCAAAATTCAGTTCCTCGAATCGATATAGAGAAGTGTCAATTTGTAAACAATAACGATAATTACTATAATACAAATGATTATTATCAAATTGTACACATTATAACTGAAATAATTTTATTTATTACGACTAATTATGAAATAGGTTTTAAGTGAGGCATTTTATTCGTATTTAAGTTTTATATAATTTTTATGTATTCGTTATGATTTGTTCAGTATTAATTTTATCGATATCAATAATCAACATTTCGCACCCCCTACCATACATGAGTTTGTTTACGCTTGTATTAAGCGCGAATTATATAAACAAGTTTATTACAAACTGCCAGATTATCTTGAAGATGAGAATGCTTGGCAGCGTGTTGGTTTGGCTCCGCTGGAATTGTCCAGTGTCGAATGGAGTCGGGAGTTACTCAAATTCTAATAGTAGTAATTTAATACTTTCATTATAATGTAGACAATCTAGTCTCTTTATGGCATCAAGCATTTTTTCTTTATTGAAACAGAGTTTCCTATTTCCTGTATAGAAGCACTATTTATATAGGGTTATTTGTAAAACTCCGGTAACCTCCAAGGACTATATTACTAACATCATAAACAACAACTTTTATTCTACGACTTTTTACAAAACATAATATATTTACCAAATACAAACCTTCAATATGTCAGGTAGGACACACATTTCAACACTGCATTTTGCTATACCTACATTGCCACGCGTTAACGAACGACTAAAAACCGCCCGTAAATAAATAGGTCAAGTTCAAGCGCCCTCTCCGCCCTTACTCCGCTCCCTCGCTACTGTCAGTACTATCTACTATCGACTGCGTAACATTTAGAGCGCTGAATTTAAATATTAAGTAAAAACGCGGGTTACTCACGTGAATATACTGAGAAAAGCTCTCCTAGTTTCGAACCACAGAGGGGTTCTTCCTCATGAGCAGCGTGCGCGGTCACGGCGACGTCGCGCAGCTCACTGGCTAGCGCTCGCCTCGGTGTCGCCACTGCGCTGCGAGCCCAGCGCGCCCTCTGTCCGACACTACGAGCCCAGCGCGCCCTCTGTCCGACACTACGAGCCCAGCGCGCCCTCTGTCCGACACTACGAGCCCAGCGCGCCCTCTGTCCGACACTACGAGCCCAGCGCGCCCTCTGTCCGACACTACGAGCCCAGCGCGCCCTCTGTCCGACACTACGAGCCCAGCGCGCCCTCTGTCCGACACTACGAGCCCAGCGCGCCCTCTGTCCGACACTACGAGCCCAGCGCGCCCTCTGTCCGACACTACGAGCCCAGCGCGCCCTCTGTCCGACACTACGAGCCCAGCGCGCCCTCTGTCCGACACTACGAGCCCAGCGCGCCCTCTGTCCGACACTACGAGCCCAGCGCGCCCTCTGTCCGACACTACGAGCCCAGCGCGCCCTCTGTCCGACACTACGAGCCCAGCGCGCCCTCTGTCCGACACTACGAGCCCAGCGCGCCCTCTGTCCGACACTACGAGCCCAGCGCGCCCTCTGTCCGACACTACGAGCCCAGCGCGCCCTCTGTCCGACACTACGAGCCCAGCGCGCCCTCTGTCCGACACTACGAGCCCAGCGCGCCCTCTGTCCGACACTACGAGCCCAGCGCGCCCTCTGTCCGACACTACGAGCCCAGCGCGCCCTCTGTCCGACACTACGAGCCCAGCGCGCCCTCTGTCCGACACTACGAGCCCAGCGCGCCCTCTGTCCGACACTACGAGCCCAGCGCGCCCTCTGTCCGACACTACGAGCCCAGCGCGCCCTCTGTCCGATGCTGGGCTCGTAGTGTCGGACAGAGGGCGCGCTGGGCTCGTAGTGTCGGACAGAGGGCGCGCTGGGCTCGTAGTGTCGGACAGAGGGCGCGCTGGGCTCGTAGTGTCGGACAGAGGGCGCGCTGGGCTCGTAGTGTCGGACAGAGGGCGCGCTGGGCTCGTAGTGTCGGACAGAGGGCGCGCTGGGCTCGTAGTGTCGGACAGAGGGCGCGCTGGGCTCGTAGTGTCGGACAGAGGGCGCGCTGGGCTCGTAGTGTCGGACAGAGGGCGCGCTGGGCTCGTAGTGTCGGACAGAGGGCGCGCTGGGCTCGTAGTGTCGGACAGAGGGCGCGCTGGGCTCGTAGTGTCGGACAGAGGGCGCGCTGGGCTCGTAGTGTCGGACAGAGGGCGCGCTGGGCTCGTAGTGTCGGACAGAGGGCGCGCTGGGCTCGTAGTGTCGGACAGAGGGCGCGCTGGGCTCGTAGTGTCGGACAGAGGGCGCGCTGGGCTCGTAGTGTCGGACAGAGGGCGCGCTGGGCTCGTAGTGTCGGACAGAGGGCGCGCTGGGCTCGTAGTGTCGGACAGAGGGCGCGCTGGGCTCGTAGTGTCGGACAGAGGGCGCGCTGGGCTCGTAGTGTCGGACAGAGGGCGCGCTGGGCTCGTAGTGTCGGACAGAGGGCGCGCTGGGCTCGTAGTGTCGGACAGAGGGCGCGCTGGGCTCGCAGCGCAGTGGCGACACCGAGGCGAGCGCTAGCCAGTGAGCTGCGCGACGTCGCCGTGACCGCGCACGCTGCTCATGAGGAAGAACCCCTCTGTGGTTCGAAACTAGGAGAGCTTTTCTCAGTATATTCACGTGAGTAACCCGCGTTTTTACTTAATTTAGTATGTCTCACGATAATTATTATAAAAATTTAAATATTGATAGTTTTGTGTGTAAAGCGCAGACTGGCGTTCCTCAAGGCGGCATTCTCTCTCCTCTTTTATTCTCTTACCTACTATTACTTCTGAACTTAAGTGTGCGTACCATCTGTATGCCGACGACCTACAGGTGTACTGTCGGGCTAGGATCGAGGGATAGGAGTGAACGCTGACTTAGCTGCTTTATATAATTGGTCTGAGAGGTTTGGAATAGCTGTGGACCCGAATAAATGTCAGGCGATTATAGTGGGAAGTTCTCGTACCTTGTGTAAGGTTGACCGTGCAAGTATGCCGGCTGTACTGTTCGACGGTGCGATCATACCATTCAGCGGCGACGTGAGGAATGTTGGCTTGTATGTTGACAATAACTTAAACTGGCGTGCTCATGTCACTAGCATATGCCAACGGGTCACCGGGACGCTGCGGACTCTGTATCGGTTGAGGAACTTTCTTCCGTCCTCTGCTAAGATAAAGCTTGTCCGGTCCTTGGTTTTGCCCATTACTGATTATGCTGATGTGTGTTTTTTCGACCTGAATGCAGATCTACTTAACAAACTTGACCGCCTTTTGAATAACTGCATTCGATTCGTCTTCAACCTGCGCAAATACGACCAGGTCGGTGCATTCTGATTGCAACTAAAGTGGTTGCCGCGACCCGCAGGAAAAACGATGCTCATAGCTCCCTTCTAAATTTGGTTTCTAAATCTCGTTCTTCCTCTATATCTGTATTTATATGTGTATAATTATGTATGTATATATGTTATGTTATGTTGTATATTTTTTTCGTATATTTAGGTATATGTATGTCAATGTATGTTCAGTACTTACACAGTGTTAAACTTTTACACGTACTATTGGGTCTCTCTGCATCACCCTAAGGCTGACTGTTAGTCCGCCATCGTATACAAGAAGTGTAAATAAGTAAAATACATTGAACAAAAGTTGTCGGTTATGATGTTAGCAAGTAGCAGAGATTGTCGGCGCGCATGACACCGACCTCGTCCGCGCTGAGGAAGTGCACGGGCAGGAGCTGGCCGTCGGCGTCGGTGAGCGGCAGCGCGGCGTCGTGGCGCGGCGGGGCGCCGTCGGTGCGGGCCGGCGCGCGCGCCACGAGCGCGCTGAAGTGGCCGCGCGTGTAGGCCAGCCCCAGCGGGCTCTTGCTGCAGGCGTCGGCCTCGCACAGCAGCGGCAGGTACAGGCCGCGGAAGCGCGCGTAGCCCAGCGCCTCGCCGCGGAAGGAGTTGACGACGTCGACGCCGTAGACCAGGATGGGCCGGCGCAGCACGTGCGCCAGCGCCCAGACGTGCAGCTGGTGCAGCGCCTGGCCGGGCCGCGCCGCCGCCGCCGCCAGGCGCGCCCACTCCGCGCGCAGCTGCGCCTCGCTGGGCGCGTACTGCAGCCGCGCCGCCTGCAGGCACGTCGGTCACTGCAATCGACCTACTCATTCCAAAGCATAGCTCTCCCACACGTAAATATATTTATTTACTTAAATAAATATATTATATTATTATTATACAGCTATAACATCACCCATTGCCTTTCTTCCTCTTTGTAACCATTTTACTATTATTAATATACCTAACTAGCTTCTGGCTTCTTTTTACATTCGACAAACTTACATATGCGTTTGGTACAATAATTGTGAAAGAGTCATACTTCGGCACGAATGGGCCGGCTCGACCGGACTGATACCACGGTCGAATAGAAAAAGTGTAATTACGCTTGCGTTGTGTTTTGTCGTGTGACCTCTATCACACACTTTTTTGCTTACCATCAGGTGATTCGCCTGCTTGTTTACCGGACCAGGATATTAAAGTACAATTATACTAAGTTCCATCGTAATCGGATCGGTAGTTTTTGCATCACGAAGTAACTCCTCACTTTTACGCAATATTTCCCTTAAATGCTCTGCTCTTTTGTATTGTAACGCGCGTAAAGTATAATACAACCAGCTCAGGAGTATAAAAAAATAGTAGCAACGTTCGTTAAAATACGACGAGTACCAGGATGTAACCGCCCCTTGCCAACAATGCGGACATGTATGCAGTAGCAGTAGCGGTACCTGCGCGCGCTCCCAGGCGGCCCAGCGCGCGTACAGGGCGCGCTGCTGCAGCGCGTCGGCCAGCGCGGCGCGCAGCGTGTTGTGGCGGTCGGCCACGCCCCACGCCGCCTGGCACAGCGCGTCGGGCAGGCAGTCGCCGGCGGACCGGTTCCACAGCGCGTACAGGCGCGAGCCGCGCCAGTTGAGCAGCGGCGGCCGCGCGCCCTCCAGCGTGGCCTGCGCCTCGCGGTCCAGCAGCTCCGAGTACAGCTGCTCCTGGATGGCGGCCGGCAGCTCCGATATCTCGGCCGGCAGGTAGAACGTGCAGAACTCTCCGATGTACCGCGCGGGGAAGCCTCCCTTCTTGTAGCGCACCGTGCTGGCGATGTGGCGGCGGATGGCCGACGCTATGTCGGGCGCTGCGATACGATGCGACGATGGATTTAAAAAACTTACGTAAACTTCATAAATCTTATATTATGGTGTCGTAACGATTTGCGGCTACGGATTTACATGTATTTTAAGAAGTAACTCACCGATATAGGAAGGAGATCTCTTGAGACCGGGCCCGCCGCCTGATATCCGCGACAGAAGCGTCGATAGAATCTCTTGTCGCTGGAATCTGAAGGAACAAGACGTCATGAAGCAGGGCACGGGCGCGCGCAGCGAGCAGACAGCGGGCGGTACCTGATGGCGAGGTGCACGAGCGTGTGGCCGGCGTCGAAGGCGGAGGCGCGGTCCAGCAGCGCCACCTCGGCGGCCGACAGCGCGCGCGCCGGGTCGCCGCCGGCCGCCAGGTAGGCGTCCACGCAGCGCGCGTCGCCCTCCAGCACGCCTGCAACAGACGCGCGTCAGTGGCGGCCCCGCCCTGACCCCCGGCGGCCCCGCCCTGACCCCCGGCGGCCCCGCCCTGACCCCCGGCGGCCCCGCCCTGACCCCCGGCGGCCCCGCACTGACCCAGACAGGCCTGCAGCCACAGCCAGTCGGTGTTGTTGCGGCGCTTGGAGCGGCGCGCGCCCGGCTCCAGCTCGTGGATCGACTCGCTCTGACTGTTGCAGATGTCGTTGATACCTGCAACACACATACATTCGCATTATTACAAAACCCACTCGATTAACTAATTATGGATAAAGGAAAACTGGTCACGGCCCCACAGAAGCTAATTGACACAGGCGTCATCGGCGACCTCTTGAGGTGGTTCGCTTCGTACATCGACAATAGGTCACAAGCAGTGGTACTCAAAAACTACATTTCTAGCTGGGTAAATATGACAGCGGAGTGCCTCAGGGATCGTTGCTCGGTCCTTTTTTATTCGTAATCTATGTGAACGACATCAGTCATCAACAAGTGCTTTCATACATCCAAATCCAAACTTTTATGTTTTGCTGACAATATGAAACTGTCAGCTACTATCTCAACACCTGACGATGGTCTGGTACTCCAGGCAGATTTGCATCGGCTTGAAGAGTATTGTCAGATTAATAAACTAGATCTCAACCCAAGTGTTCCGTAGTCACTTACAATAGAAAACCCACTGTCCATATCACTAATTATACCCTAGCAGGACACTAAGGTTACGGGTTATGGCTCCAACTTCTGACCTATCAGTGGGTGGGTAACCTATCAATACTAATAATAGTTATTTTTGCTTTTTACTTTTGACTTTTTGTTTATAAATTTTGGTTTTTTGAAGTCGGTTTTTTAAACGCTGTTTTTATATATATAAGCTGTTATATTTACTACAAAATATTTCTAATTGATATAGTCTACATTGGTATGTTCGTATGTTATGAAAATATTTCAAGTTTAAATAATATATGGATATTACGAAGTACATAAACAGTGACTCACCGAGCGCAGGGTGCGCGGGATGCGGCGTGTAGGCGGGCGGCGCGGGCGCGGGGGGCGCGGCCGGGTTACTACTGCCGCACATGGCGCACTTGAGCGAGCGCGGCCAGTTGTCGTACGTGCACGTCTGCCACACAAAGTACGTCAGACAAGTGTCGTCCGCGCTCTCACTGTCTCCGAGCACCGACGGTACAACTTACCGGACATGACCACTTGGCGACGGAGGATGCGCTGGCGCCCTGCGGGGAAGATATCCGCAGCGGCTTCAGGCGCTCCGTCACTGCCTCCGCACCTGCATCACACCCAGGAGTTGACTCTGTTCCGGCTACTAACAACAAGTTACCTACCAACGCTAGTTCATTCTTAGTCTACAACAAACGAATATTATGAATTGGGTATTTTTCTGGGTCTAAAATAAATTATTTTGATTTTACAATCCAATTAAATATTCAAAAACAATTACACTTTCATTCATATATTTGACGTTGACGATACTTAATATTCGATTTATTCCAGCAATTTTTTTAGCAATAAGTGTGCTATTTGACTCGGAAATACATATGATGACGTCATAAGTTAGTTTTTGGTACAAAATTCATAGAAAAATATCGTTTTTGATGTTTCGATAAAAGTATTGAATTTGACTAGTTGTTAAAAACCGTATTTAATGTGACTCCTGGGGGCTTACTCTTGACTGACTGACTGGCTGACTCTCCAATTCCGATCGGTCGACATTGACATTGTGAAATATCGTACTCTCGAGTTGCAACACTAGCGCCCATTGCATCCGTATTGCGTGGATATTTCATGAACTAATTGGTATTGAGTTTGGCTTTATATTCCGTACTCTGAATGCTACTTTAACAGCTACGACCGGGGTTGTATAATTTTGACATTGAATAATTATTGAGATTTTATTGCATTGAAATTGCATTGACATTGAGATTGGTCTCAAGAGTAAGCACCCTGCTCACTTTCCCACCCACAGTCACTCGGAGAGGACAGTCAACTTCACAATATTCTCCTAAATAATGCATCCAATAAAATTCTGTAGCTAAGGCAAAATGTATCGGCTGTATAAAATTACCAAAGTGACGAAGCAAGTCTCATTTGTAACAGTGACTGAGTAACTATGTGGAAATATTACAGCGATCTAATGCCTCACTCTTATGATTCACTACCTACTCCCACGCGGTTTCACCCACACTGCTCGGCTCCTATTCATCGTAGCAAGATGTTTTATAGCCTATATATAGCCTTCGTCAATAAATGGAGAATCCAACACAAAAAGAATTATTACAATCGGACCAGTAGGGCAAACAAACTCTTCAGCTTTATATAATTAAAGTAATTAAGTAATTAATTATTATATAATTAAGTGATTGATTATACTATCAAAGAGAGATGAGGTACAGAACTAATAATTATATTTACATGATTTCAGAAGCGAGATCTAGAAGTCTCTAATAAGGTAGACCAGAGGAGCCCGTTTCAAACAATTTGTTCATGATAATCTTTAAAAGATAGATAGAAGTTGTTACCACAGATTTCTTGGGTGGGTAAAGCACTGGCACCGTCTTGCAGCCTGAAGATATCTTCGTTGACCACGGATTTGGGACTGCGGCACATGGTACACTGCAATGAGACCACACAACTTTATGTAGGCATAATATGCTTTATTGTGTGGGACTAATGCAAATCTCTTGATCAACTAACAAGAAATCTAGTAATAGTAGGAAAGGAGAGGCCATAATTCTACAGATCAAGTTATGCAAGCATCATAAGGAATACTGACATACTTAATCAAGTATCTAATCAGATAAGGTTCTTTTTAGACTCTCCTTGAACTTGTAAAATGTAACTAAAGAATACCTTTCGTGAGAGAGGGAAGTTTTCGTAAGTGCAAACATGACAGCACCACTTGGCACCCTCCGTGGCGGTCACAGAGCTTGCTGTCATCTGAAACAGGTTACCATGCCAGGGCTAAGCATTGTCATATACATGTCTCTACTAGCAGAAAATTGATTAGATTGCTATTTTATAATCAGTGAACAGTAAACATACAATGCAATGATTTATAAAACAAAGTCAATGCAATCATTCACATCTCATCAACAAAATTGATTAATTTATATAGCAAAAACTTGGTGAGTATAATAATACTTTATTGATTGTGTACTATTGTACACAATCTTTAACTTCCTGAAGGATTCAGTAGAGACATGGTTTATATAATATTTTATTCTACTAATAGGTTACAATATAACACCAACTTTTTACTATTTATGTTATGAGTCCCATGTAATAGGAGGTGAGCCTATTGAAATATACCGGGCACATTTCCAGACTCAGTGCTACTACTGAGATTTTTTTAAAAACCCTTGAAGCACTTTGCCTGACCCGGGTATCGAACCCGAGACCCCTTGCCTGGCACTCTGCATTAAGTGCCATTATGTGCACCTCATGTCTACCCCTTTGGGGATAAAAGGTGTTAAGTTGATGTTATTGTTGTTGTTAATAGGTAAATGTAAAGTAACACTTTTAAATGTCAATCTTTAAATTACTGAAAAGACCAGTGCTGCCCATTGGAGTACTCTGAGACGTGAATACGTAAATAATACAGCCATATTGCTAAATTGTATATTGTATAACGTAGATAACCATTGTGAATGTGAGAGCCCTGTAATTAACTTAATATTAAATTAGACTAGTAGAATGCATTTGTGTCAGCTTGGAGTTATCATGCTCACTCAAAGGTCTCATTGGCGGTGGCGCATGCAGTGGATCGCTCGATTCCCTACAATATGGTTGAATTGGGCGGTGCTGGTGTATGTGTCATGTTCGTGAATGGGCACCGTCAACTGGGACTGGTCAGCTCCAGACTGTATTATTTATTGTCTTTAATTTTAATTATTAATAATTTTAATTATTTATTGTCTTATTTTCTTTTTCAATCACTTTGACTAGATTTTAGTGTTACATTGTTCTCCCACAATCCAAATAGCAAACTATGTAACTAAAGAATTGTATTGTGAACCTGATTGAAAAAGTGTAACCTAGAGTTTCTTGCTCGTTCTTCTCCATAGGAATCTACACCTTGGAATGAGCAAATAGCTTCATTTTTAATTTTATTGTTTACATTGAAAAGTGCCTTTCTGGTCTAATTGAAATAAATGATTTAGACTTTTTTTTTTGAAAATGTTGAACCAAACATCAACGGTCATAGTCTCTTTTAACTCGTTGAGTACTGTCATTATAGACACAATTAAAGAACAATAGATTGCGGTCACCGGTGACCGCTCTGTGTTTGACAGTTTAAAGTCCAGACAGATGAAGAGTAATGTGTGAGAACCAAGCAAGTTGATTCAGTTGGTGGCATCTTGAGGAAACAATCACAACACTTTGAGTGGACCAATTCTGGGGGCCATATACCGGGGTCAGTTTCCAATCAACTCGACTAACAGATGTTGAGAAGAAGGAAGAAAGCATTTATTTATTGCTAAATGGTTGGTATTTGACAAACAATACCAACCAGGAGAACATTAGGGTAGACCGCACATATGCTCAAACTGTCAGAATCAGAAGAAATGTTAAGATCTTGTTACACCATTTGTGATAAAGTTTCAATTGGTGTTAATTTTAACTTATATTAGGAAGGTCCTAAAGATGACAGCGATGTGGATGTTTCACATTACTTAGTATACATAAACACAAGTATATTTACAATAATATAAGTATACAATATTGACCAGCTCTTGCCATTGATGAACCTGGACACCAGATTTAGTGAATGCAGTGATAGGGTGAGTTACCTGGCTGATTGTGGTCTGTGAGATGTTAGTGGACGCATCGAGCGTAGCGCACTCTGCCCCCGACGCGTCCGACTCGTCGAGCGACGCGCTGTTCCTGCTCCCGTCATCCTGCAGCTCCTCACTCATCTTACCATCAATTATAACATTGAGAATTATTCTTCATGTGCACTTCACAATTAATTGCTATGAGGTTCTCATTATACGAGATTATTTATTATCAGGTTTCTATTTGTACAGATGTGCCGTTTGTCGACTATTGTTTCGTATAGTGCACCTGTACACGATTTCTTGTGACCTAAAAAATAAACGTACACCATGACCTGACCACTATGATTGTCAATACACGTTAAATAATAATTGAAAGTAGAGTGATAGGTAAATATTTTCACCACAAGAATGTCTATTATTGGTATCAATACTATCAATGACAGAACGAGACAACATACCATACGTGTATGAAAAACTTATTTATTCTAGGTCCGAGGTTGTTGATATAAAACTTGGCATCGTTCTTCCTAGACTTTTGGCGTCGTTACACAACATAAAACATCGAGAGTCTGATGGCATAAGGTCAAGACTACTAGAGCGATGATACTATTTTACTCACTCACTCTGTGCTGACGATGTGACGATCAACTTATAACTGTTCTACACGAAAATATACCAAACAATGGATAAAACAAACCCGGGGAAGACAGAAGAAAACGTAAAAGAAACAATGGAGATAGAGGCAATTATGTTTATACGGTATTTTGACAAATTTTGTGTCAAGTCAATTTTGGTGTCATTATGTGAAACGAGAAGGCTCGCTCAGAATTATTGTTGTCAAAATCATACAACCCCCTTGCAATTACTGGTTTTCTATTGGCTATATTTTTTTTTTATTGCAAGATATATTTTCAACCAATTGTAAATTTATATTTATAAATTTAGCCAATAATAATCAACAATAGTTTTAATCAAAATGGCTACACCTCTGTTTAGTAATCTGTGGGTTACGCTAAAAAGTAAAGATATTTGTCTATGACTCTACGTTCCGTTTCACAAAACAGGCACTGTACTGACTGTACACCATATATTATGTACGAATGATAATAAAATTACTAAAATATTGACACACGTACATGATTGGAGAGAGTCATAAGCTACTTTTCTGTTCTGTCTGTTATAACTCCCCACATATTTATAACAGGGGTGGAAGTTTGTTTGCTACATCCTGAAAATTTCTCAGGAACTACTGGTCAGATATTAAAAATTATTTTTATGTTGAATAGTGTGTTTATCGTTGAATGCTAAAAGCTATAAAATATCATGCTACGATCAATAGGCGCCGGTCAGAGCGGGTTAAACATCGCGGAAGTAGCTATACTGAAGATTTTGTCGTTTGAACGTGCTAATCTCATAAATTGCTGGTTCGAATTGGATAATTCTTTTGTGTTAGATAGTCCATTTATGGATGAAGACTACAGGTTATAAAACATCACACTATAATCAATAGGAACCAGTGATAGGAACAGAACAGGTGAAACCGCGTTACTATCAACTAATATACCTTTGTGCTTCGAATGACAAAAAAATGATGTCATGTGAATGACAAATTTTTAGTACAACTGTTTTCCGCATGTTTAGAAAATAATTGTTTGTATTTCAAGTTTGAATCTGTTACAATGATTTAGTTAAAAAGTTACAAACTCTGTTCACAAATTCGAATGAATTTTAGACGTATTTTGTCGAAAAGTTCTTTGAAGTCTTCGTCATCTTCGGAAAAGAGTCAACCGGAAGAGGTCATAAAATTACAAAGTGAAATTGAATTACTAAAACAAACAATCGATTCTTTGAAAGTCTCAATAGAAAGTAGAGATGCGGCCATAGGTACACTAGCTCGTGAAAAAGAGAAAATATATGTTGAACTCAAAAGTGCTCAAAGAACAAACAGGAACTTACATCAACAACTTGTAGATGAAAGGTAAAAAAATGTGAACTAGATATATACATAGATACTTACACACACTACGGTTACCTAGCTAATAATAGATCAGTGTGTATTCAATTTTGGTTGAACGTAAGTACTTACTTATCTTCGGAACGACTGGTGCAAGTTTGAAAATTATTATTGTGTCGGAGTAAACGGACTCGTTTACTTAGAAACACGATAGGCTCAGACACCACGCTTTTCACACTGGCGAATAATAGAAGCAGAGTAGCTCGAAACCGCGCGATAGTTGCCGCTGGTTGGGACATATAGCACGTTGCATCTTATAATAAGTACCCTTAGTGAGATTTACCTACAGATTCCAAAACTACATGTAAGTGTTAGGTATTGGCACAAGGGTGCGCTGGATGGCGTAGGTCTAAATTATTTTTTTCAGTGTGGAACCTCCATTGTAGGTATGTTAATCATTCGTAATAATTGTTATAATTCTAGGGACATACATTCTAAGGAAAAAGATTTTCTCATAAATGAGATTAAGAGATTGACCAAAAGAAACGAGAATGAAACGAATGCTCAAGATAATAGAGATGTAAGTATCAGTAGGCATTACAAAAGTTATATATAGGAAACAGGAGTTTTGTAAAGAATTGTATCCGACACAAGTTGATCTAAACTTGCAAGCTGAAGTAGTAGTACTAGTAGTGTGTCAAGACACATACACACACAAGGTGGACGAACGATACCTGCAAAGTACAGTAGGCCCTAAAGGTACAACAAGGGTTCAGGTTTCGGGTAAGTCTTAACTCTACTTAGAAGTGACACTATCGTGCCTGTCGAATATGTTAGGCACATGTTAAATATATTTGCCTGCCTTATTAATAATGGTGTTTTTGAATATTTAAATATTATTTTATTATATTTTACAGCAATTCGAAGATCAAGTGAAGAGTGCAATAAGCGACGAGTTAAAAGCTAGAGATGAAGTAATTTGTAATATTGGTGCTAAGTATTTAAAAATTAAATCAAGCAAAACACTTTTCCAAAAAAAATTTGAAAAATTGCAGGCTCAGAATAAGAAGGTAATTATTGATATCAATTACCTACATTTCTTGTATCTCGACGTGCTAGTTGCAAGGGACACAAAAGAAAACCCTACCTACAAGCGATAAGCATATTCAAATCGCTATCGACACGAAGTAGGGGATGAAAGTTTGTGTGGAATTTCGTTTTCTTGTTTCTGAGTCGATATCGACATACCTATACCTACTATGTTTAAAAGGGATAAATAGAAATACCTACTTCTTTAATTTTTTTACATTACCTACCTATATAGGTTACTGTTCTTTTACAGACATGTGAAAATATTATATTATTGCTACAAGATAATAGAAAAACTTTGGATAGTCTTTTAGACAAGTTGCTTAAATCATCTTCGATCTCTCCGAACAGTCGAAAATATTTAAAACTATTGCAAATCAATGCCAGCTTGCATTACGAAAACACTCAACTTAAAATATATTTATCATCTAATCAAGATCGTACCAGCAATGTAACACAAGAGCCCTCTAACAAATATTGCCCCATTGGTAAACAAACAACTTTTGGAACCAAATCAGAGGAGAAAATGAACCATCTTTCAATAAATTCAATGATGAAATTATTAAACGCCCATGAATTTGAAAGTCTTAAGAGTTTCAAATATATTCATAGAACTTTTTCTCCAAATATTCGCGGTACGATTTATAGGTCAGTTTCAGATTCATGTATCGTGAGATCGACTTTAAGTGAATTATGCTAGTATTATATTTGAAATGGGTAAATGTGGTTTTATTTCAATACCTGCAACTTATTATCAAATATTCCATTTTATATTGATTTTTTTTCTATTTGCTCTTCCCTCTCTTGCGTTGCGGACTCTTACCGGCTAAAACCACCGCCGTGTTCCTCCACTGCCTGTAACCGTCCCAGTCAGTCATCCGTGGGCCTCCCCTATGGAGGTCGCAGACAGGTTGGTCACAGACTACTTAGAGATACTACATATAGGTTGGTGCCTCACGGCGCTGATGATGACCGGCGTGAATACGGCGGGAGGGGAGAGAACTTTACGCCTCTCCCTCCCCCTGTCTATGGACGAGAGTCGAATTTCTAAAAATGTGCAGTGTCTTAGAATGAAAACTAAATTCAGATAAATCCATGGAAACATCAAGAAAAGCAGATAGTTGAAATCATATTAGCAAACAAATGTTTTATTTTTGTAATATCAAAATACTGGAACCCGCTCCCATGGCATTCATTGTCTATGAAATTAATCGTTAAGAAATGTTACCATATCAAGATTTTATCCACTTTTAAGGGAAACCGCTGGTACCTAAAAGAAATTATGGTAAAAATAAACAAAAAAATAACATTATAATTACCTACTTTTGTTTGAGAAGTAAGAGAGAGAAATGCAAGGACTATAAGAATGTCAATTTAATCATTGAATGTATTTATTATTCCAAGTTATACACGTAGTAATAATTACATACTCACATCCCTGTTATTGTGATCAGTATCATTAAATCATTATATAAATAAAACGTTAATCTGGTATACTTTTTTGCTACGTTTTCAAATACTAAAATTAGTCTAATTTTTATATTAAAAAAAAATTACATACGGTTTTAAAAATGGTTTTTGTAATAATACAAATCAGTTTGATATAATAAATATCTGATATCTGAACATGCATGTCATGAGCTATACTTTTTTAATTTTTATATGCTTTGCAACTCAGACTTTTTTAATTTAGAAAAAATAGTAATTTTCACGGGCGTAAAGGTTTTCAAATAATTTCAAAACAAATAAGTAATAATAGGATAATAAACTGGTAACTAGGAAACTGTATTATTTTGAATGTTGTTTCGAAATTCTCTAAAAATTAATATTGACAGAGTATTTATCCGAAAAAATACCCATCTTTAGTGATAACTAATAATAGGGTTTGATGGGGAATTTTTAAACTGTGGTGGTAAAATACAATGTGCCATTCATGCGGAAACTAAAGTTACGAGTTGGTAACACTGATCTCCAGATTTGTGTGCGCCGGCATCGCACGTGAACGTGTCGCAAAAATCTCAAAAAATTAGTGAAATCATCATGTCGGACGAATATTTTTATGGTAAGTGTTAATATTTATGTCAATAAGCATACAATTAAAGTTTTATTTGCTACGTTTAGGCAGTACTTCGTAGAGAAATATCTAAAGAACTTCTAGCGTCCGTTTTGACACCCGGCTCTCGCCATTTTATTTCACAATATACGGTTGATGTGTTATTTTTATCGCTTTCTGAAATAAAATGTCGCTATTTCATTATTCTCTGCATATCTTGAGGTTCTTTAAAAATGTTGTCGTGTGTTAATCGGACTTACCGCCATTTTTTATGTATCTTGCTAAAATGGCTAATTTCGATTCAGTAATGGCGTTTCTTTCTGCGTTAGTTATTCTTGGTCCCACGCGACACCCAAGTAGTGGCTATTGATTATTAGTTATCGCATGGTGTGTCGAATTATGTGTAGCTAGATATTGGGCGCGCATTTCGAATATGTGGCGTCCTATCCTAAAGACAAGCCGTTGAGAAGCCCAGCCCTACATTCGCAAACTATAAAAGCTGGGAGTTCTAAAATGTCGTATAAGCCCCGCTGTTGTTTATGCCGGCTTAGGTACGCCGCGGTGTCAATGTTTAGAGGTTATGATGACAAAATTAACACGAGTTGAAGTGTATGTTCAGCTTTACACGTTTTGATTTGTGATAGGTATTAGTTCTGTGAAACAAGTTGATGAAATTTACTAACGTTTCAGGTGTAACTCTATCGGCTTCACATCAGTCGGAGACATGGGACCCAGAGGCGAAGGCTGAGTACCCTCGTAGCAACAAGCTGCTCATACGTCAAGCCCTCTTGGGTCCAGATGCCAAGCCTGATGAACTTAATGTTGTTGAGGTATAGTTCTATATCACTGATAAACTGGATACCTTGAAGTTATTCCGTATAATACTTATTTTTATTTCTGCTTTGTTTTTGGTATGTGTAGTTAAACTTTCATGGTTGCAAATACATTCTGCTACTATTAGTGTTTCACAATGTCTGGGTAGCTGCTATGTGCCAAATTAATTTGCACAGAACACAATTTATGCAAACTATCTGTCTTTATAAGTTTAACGGGTACTGATGGAAAGGTAATGAAACAGGTGCTACATTTTAGTGTACATATCAACTTATATACATGAAATATTAATTATTTCAATTAATTGACATCAAATTCCAGGCTCTAGAAACTAAATTTTAGGTATTTTGAACATGATGATGCATGATTTTTGTTGTGTCCAGGTGGAAACTATGTCACTTCAAGAGACTGTCAAGATACCAGTAGCAGTACTGAAAGTGGGAGAGACAAGGCATGCACGTTTGGATATTGAGTTCCCGGATGCCCCAGTCACTTTCACTCTCATCCAGGTAAGCTAGTTTGTTAACTAGGTATTAAACTGTCAAACACCAAGCGGTCACCGGTGACCGCAACCTATTGTTCTTTAATTCTGTCTATATTGACGGTGCTTGACGAGTTAATGTTGTAACCAAGTAAGGTTTAACAATTGTAAGTGAATCTTATGTATTCCTAAAAAAACTGAAATGATGATAAAAACTTTACCATTGGTAATTTGATGGACGCGCGACGTCGTTTTGACTGTTGCACCGTCTATTTGTGATAGCTTGAGGCATTTGTCTGATCATGCAATAAAGTACTCTGTTACTGAATATGAAGTACATATAGCAAGCACTGATGGGTTTTTTGATGTGCAGGGATCAGGGCCAGTGCATTTGATTGGCCAGCACCTACTTGGTGCCCTCGTGGAGGAGTTTGAAGACATGGAGGAAATGGAGGAAGAAATGTTGGATGAAGAGGAAGGAGATGATTCTCAATTCAAGGTAAATATATAGCTGTTTTATTCTAAGAAGTAACTATAAAAACTATTGTATTTACCAGATAGACAAATTATATTTTTGTTTAAAATCACAGTTATTTGTTAGTTTACTAAAATTTACAGGAAGATGAGAATAAAAGGAAAGCATCAGCAGGAAAGCGCAAGACCAATGAGGTACTGAAAACCTTCAACTAATATCAAATTAATGGGTTCTATTTATGCTCTACAGAGGGAAAAGGACCTGTGACTCAGTTAACAATGACAGTTCAACTTAAAGTTTGTTCATAAAATCACACATATCGAAGTTGTATTCAAAATTATATACACAATACACATATTGCTGTCATTTTTTAAATCCTTTGTGTAAATTGGCTGTTGGTTTTCTGTATACTCATATTTTAAAATCTTTACCTTTACCTTCTGGTAGCTGGGTAAAATAAACAAAAATTAGCAAGAAAGGCCAACTCGCATCATACAAATTATTAGAAACTTTTATAAATCCATTATGTTCCATATATTTGCCAGATGTAGGAATGTTGGCCATTATTGCTTTATTATAAGAATCTTGAATTGTTTTAGATAGGTACAAAATCTTCAAAGTGTTGTGAATTGTATACTCATATGATATTCGTTTATTATGTGTATTTAAAATTCTGGAAATTGATATTTGCTTATCATGATGAAGGAAGATTATTTAAGTTGACAATTTACAAGCATGTTAATCGTGATAAGCAATATTACGACACTATTTTAATTTCTAAAATACGATTCTGATATAAGTTATATAAATGAATTTTAACTACATGAAGTGATTGTTTTTAAATATTTAATTTCTATTGAGAAATCGATACAATTCGTATTTGATGGAGAATAATATTGCGATTTTCCTTATAGTAACTTATCTTTTAATTTCAGGATGAGGATGATGAGGAAGGTGAGCCCAAAGGTAAAAAAGCGAAAATGTCAAACAATGCTAAAGGCAAGGCCCCATCGCCCAAGAAGAACGCCAAGAAGTGAACCGCCTGCCGCGCCCGCCCCGTTGGCTTGCGTCCGTTCGCTCTTTGATGCGCCGCACGCGTCCGAAATTCGTCAAACAGACCAATTCCATTTAAGACTGACTACAACCTCGATCATTAAACTTTAGGTATATTGTACCTAGTGTAATTATACAAATATTTTGGATTACTTGAGTAGCACAGGCCAGTTGTAGGTAGTGCGGCGTGTCAATGAGCGGAGCGGGCGCAGCTGGCGGCCGGCGTATCTCTTAGTTGTACGTTATAGTGTGGTAATTCAGTCTAGGTTAGCATTGTATCGACTTGAGCGTGTCTGGATGAGTGCAAGTGTGAGTATTTGTACGTGATAGTTATTTACTGGTCGAGGTATCTGCAAACTTATCGATCCGATCCTGCGTGGTTACCGGTGATCGAATGTGATTTCTTCACTTTTTTTTTAATTTTTCTAATCTAAATTTCCATTCCTTACTGTGGTATAGTGTTATGGATGTCAAATTTAATATTAAAGTAAGTCTTAAATTCACAGATGTATTTTTAAGTTAAGACATTAAGCATAATCAGTGTACTTTTAAGACATTGATCATTTTTGTATGGAGTAGCTACCAGTCGACATGTAATTAAATTTGCTAACGATTTCTCATTTCAGAATGAAAACTGATAAGCTATTATAGTTTGTTTGTACATATACATTATAAAAGCGTAAGACGGTAACAATAAATAAAAAGCATTTCTAAACATTTATACTCCTTTTATTTTTGCCTCTATTCAATGTTTATTCAGTAATGCCTGTAATATTTTATTACGTTCTCGCTGTATATCATTAGACTCTACCACAGCTCGCAACAAACATTCAAACTTATCATTATCACTTCTGTCCTGCACTTCTTGCATGACTCTCTTGATTTCAGTTAAAGTCATATTGTCTATGGTTGTGCCTTGAATACTCAGGATATTTTCTGTTCCTGGATGACAATCAAATATTTTTTCAAAATAAGAATAATATGGCCAATTATTTACTTTTCCTGTTTCCTTCATTTTCTCAGCTAGTCTTATATAAGTTTGTTTCAAATTACGAAACTTTCGATCACATTCTTCCGAAGATAACCCTATCCTCGAAGCTAACAGTCTCCATACATTCTTCTTTTTCACAAGTGGATTTTTAAATTTTTCTTTGTTGTCTATATAAAAATTTAAGAGTTCCTTGACATAGTCATCTTCTTGAAACCTGTAATTAAGTTTAGGTAGTCCTCCATCATTGGAGGTATTATAACTTACAGGTCCAGTGTAAATTGATTCAAAATCTTTGTAATAGCGCCATTTTGTTATACATCTTCCAGTATTTGCTCTCATTTTTAATCTGATGTAAGTTTGTTTTAAATTGCGAAACTTTTTATCACAATCAGTGGGTCGCTCTCCCACTGAAACTGCTATTTCCTTCCATAATTCCTTTTTTTGGTATCTTGGATTTTTGAATTTTTCAGCTATTTGCTTGTACTCGTCTATTAATAATCTAGTTTTATTTTTATCCCATGGTCCAGTACTTGGACTATAATTGTAAAATATTCTTTCAAAATAGTTGTGATATTGCCATTTGATTGGTTTCCCTGTTTCTCTACTTCTGTCTTTCCAATTCAAGTATGCTCTTTTTAAATTTTTAAACTTATGATAGCAACTGTACTCTGTTGTCCCTAACTGAGATGCTATCTCTTTCCAAACATCTTTTTGTACAGAATCTGGGTTTCGGAACTTACTCAAATTCTCAATGTAGAGACTCAACAACCTTCTTACTTTGTGCTCCTCCCAGGGTTCTAACACAGAAGGTGGAAGCAATTTGCATTCTTTAAACACCTCTTCACATGCACCATAATGTACCCATTTGATTTCTTTACCTAGTCTTTTCTTTTTCAAGAGTCTTATGTAGGTTCTTCTGAGGTTTCTATATTTCTTATTACATTCATCAGAACTTGCACCCAATTGTACACTTATTTCATCCCAAAGAGATTTGTCTCTAGTCAAATTTCGAAATCTGTTTTCTAAACACAATGTTAATAGATGTTTTATTTTATTCCTATCCCAAAAGTTATCATCCTCCTTGTTCTGTGGCTCTTGTTTTTCACTACTTTCAGTAATGTGTTCTTGGATAGGTCCTTCACTAATTTGTATGTATTGTCTGTTATCTCCGGTATCCACAACATATCTAGCCTCCTGCCCTGTAACTGATGTAAATAGATAGTGTAATAAACTGTTACACACTATAGTGTGTAACAGTTTGAGACATATAAGTATACTTATATGTCTCCACTTAGTATGTGTAAGCCGATATGCAGCTAATATTTTGACTAAGCTGCTTTTTTAACCCTTATTATAAGTACAACCACAGCTGGGATTTTAAGCAAAGGAAGAATAGTTCTAGATTGTCTTTTTATGTATTTCTAGTTAGTAAGTAGGTAGTTATTGCAGATGCTGACAGTGTAGTATAAAAAGAGAATAGGTACTTTGATATGAGTTTCATTGGCTTAGAACTATTTTCTACTAATAATATGAAGTGGGTTTATTTTTTTAATGGAATAATTGATTACGCAGTGGGTTAATTGTAAGCATAATAATTTATACAGATCAAGAATTCAAGAAAAATTATTTTGGTGAGCAGAGGCCTCGGGTTAGGAAACTTGTAAGCCTGGCACTTATGTACCTAACTGAATAATGAGATTAAATTTTTAGTGAATGGTTTAATGGATACCTTCACATGCTAAGGGAAACAAATTTATAACAATAGGTATGTATTTAAAGAATAATCAACTTACTCTGTGGGTTTTGTATAGTGAAGTTATTACTACTGAAAATAACATTACTCTGGTCTTCCCTTAGAACAAACCAATAACTTTGGTTGTGAGAATGGCTAATATCCATTATCGGTGTTTGAAATTTTATAGATAAAATTAGTCAAGCGTATCGTGATAAAACAAGTGGTAGCAAGTAGGTATATTATGTCGTCAACAATCCAAAAAAAACGAGACTGGCGATTTTGAACAGGACCATTACCTACTGTTACCTACTACCACTACATGACCATAGACTGTAACAGGGCCGTCACACTTAGAGCCAATGACAGATTACAAAATCAGATCGTCAAATAAGTACATCTAGTTTAGTTTAGTTTTCCCTTAAACTTAAACTCCTTGGACTTTATTAAGAGGAGCAATCTATGTACTGCAATGTAAATAAAATAAAAGTATTTGACGGAAAGTCAACGACAAAGAGTATAATAAGTATAGGGGATGTCAACGATCAACAGCAAATGACCAAAGAGCATACACATGTTGTTGCCATACTATTTAAAAATACCGATTTACAATATAATGATATGGAAAGCAAAACAATATGTACAACTTAAGCTACACTGAAACTAATAGAGAAAATTAAATAATACTATTATAATTAATTATATATCGATTCAAAATTTGTTTCAGGCAAACAGTTTAGCCTGCAGACCGCGAATTATCGTAAGTCTTTTGCAATTTACAGCTCGGTATATGAAATACTATATTATTAATAAAATATATATTTGCATTTCACTACCACGTTCATTCACATTAAACCTAATTTATTACCTACCACTTAGGTGACTAAATTTTTATTATGTAAAATATGTACAAATAATTTTAATAACTACATAAATATTTACAACTTAAAATTAACTACAAATAAACTATTAAATATAACGACTAAATTGATTTTAAGAAGCAGAAGATTATTGCTCAAATGCTACCATGTAACTACGGTAACGAACGATACATAATAAACACACTTTATATACTTAAAATACAATCAGTCGAGCTCCACTCCAAATCGTTTCTCAAAATTCAAATATAATAAAAAAATGATTCGCAAAACAAACTCGATCATTCACATCACAGCTGATGACATTCAACACGTACTTTCCTTGAGTGTTGCCATCGCTTTAATGTTAGTTCCTCATCATTTAACCAACTATAAATACAATTTATTTTTCGTGAGGTAGGGTACCCAAAAGACTGGCAGCATTACCACGTCGAATGGCAATGCTTAACCTTTGTCCAAGGTAGAAGCCAGCCCTTCGATCACCTGAAGTGTCAACCATCCTCCTTACAATATCCCCCCTAAAGTTTCAACCCCAAACGGTTCGAAAGCATAATTGCCAATCAGGCTATCATACTTTCGCCGTTTGAGGTTCTCGGCTGCAGAGAGCTCGCTCGCTGAGTTTGGAAGATGGGATGGCGCCAGAGTATCAACGCAAGTGGCGTCCTATACTAAAGGCCTACCCTACTTTTTTTTTGATGCCTTGTTATCTAGCGTATTTGTTTTTTTAAGGTATAAAATATTTTAGTTCATAGTTATTTATATTTTAAGTTGTCTATATTTTCATTTAGTAATAGTTAATATTAATTGTATATATAATAAATAAAAAAAATATTTTTCTATAAACAGATTTCATCATCATAGAATAAAAGAAAATCCATAGAGAGAATTCGGTGATAACCATAGATGTATTTCTTAGAAACCAAAGCTGGCAACTTTTGTGTTATGAATGGACGCCATTATTTCAATTTTTTTCAGTTTACTGTCCTTGTGTGTTTACTGTTTCAATGTGAAAAAGAGACGATTGTGTAGTTCTGATTTGCATTTTTTCTACTGTGACGTTAATATTGGTATATGAGTAAAGTTTAAAATAGTAAATTACAGTACCTAAGCTTTACACAGATTATGTGTTTAAATTTTGAATTTTTTGATGAATTGAAAGTTTGACGTGAGTATAACTTTAATTTTCACGATCTGTCAGCGTCGTTATTATTGAAATCCTAAATTGTCTTGTCGTATTTTAACCTCGATACTAGACATCATGTTTAAAGAAGGTGTATTTAGTTATTGAGATATTTCGATTGTTGATTGCAATGAATTTACTGTTATACGGTTAAGGTTAGGGAACCGATGATGCTTTGGCGGGAAACTGCTTTGGCTGTTTGTTTTCCTTTGAGTACCGAATGGTTGATGTTGTCATAATTTTTATTTTTATTTGTGAACTTTTCTGTTTATTAATTAGTCACAATTACGTTTAAAACGTGTCTTTATTGAAAACATTGTTGACGTGACAAATTCGTATTATTTCGCGTACAAGATTCTATTATTTGTAAATCAATTGTAATGCATCGTAGAACTTGATGTATACATTCGTCAAGTAGTGGAGTAGACTAGTATTAGTTGTCTCAAAACATTGGATTAGTAACAAATATGTTTACGTGATGCTGTAGAGCGATGTCAGGGGGACAACTAGTGGTGTTGGACCGCGCCGGGCGCGATGTGAAGCGGTTCCCTCTGTTGGAGGGGCTAGCCACGCTGGGCAGCGACCCTGCTTGCGACATCCGCATCATGCTGCCCACTGTCAGCCCGCACCATGCTACTGTAGTGGTCCATGCTAACCAGGTAACATCTCGTTTATAACTATATCTAATCTTCTGGGCTTATGTACTGACATTACTACATTTATAAGATTTTTGTTAAATGTATAAATTGGGAAGTCTCTTATGAATACTTATTAATAACTAGCTACTTCCATTCAGCTTCTAATAATTGTAGCAATTTAGCGAGTGAAGTTAGCAATAGTAAATTTATAATTGGACTATCCAATACAAAACAATTTTTCAATTAGGACCAGTAGCTTCTAAGATAAGCACATTGAATTAAACAAACTCCTCAGCTTTTAAGTATAATAGTATAGTATAAGATATTCTATGGCTGGCAGTTTTATTAAAAATATGTCATGGCACTAACTACCTACTCCATAACATAATTGAAAGGAGTTTACACTGTTGCATAGTAGGCAACTAAGTTTTACCTTCAAATTTAGTTTGTTACTAATATTGAGTTACATGTATAATTGAACTATTGGCATTATCTTCCAAGGGGCATCATATAAAAATCAAAAGGAGATGACTTTAGTCTATTCTTATGCTTCTATACTAATATTTAGTTTAAAAATATTACAAAAATATTATTAGGAAATTGTCATTTGCTTGGTCTGATGATGCGGATAATATTGAATAATGTATCTAATGTTTAATTGCATTGATAATTTTCTTTATTATTACCATTAATCTCTAATTTCAGTCTAGATTATAATTATAAATAATTGTTAATGTTTACTAGTTGTTGAATATCATGTTGTGTGCACATACTTGTGGAAGCATGGTTTGCCATTTACCATTTTATGTTGTTACTCTGTTGTGTATTGCACTGTGTTTCTGTTTTGTGTATCTATTTAATAAAAAATAAAATTATTTTTAAATTTTAATTTTATTAATGAGGAAAAATTTGTATGCCAATATATGTTTTTTTAATGAATTGGTTCAAATAGTGCTGGACCAATTTTAAACATTCAGGAAATAAAAACGTTATGTTTCCATTGATAAATATAGGCTAATACAAGAAAAAACAATGTTTGAAAAATAAATGTCTGAACTAGCCACTCGATGTGATAAAATGGTAATATAGTTGAGGAAAGATTCTGTAGTTGAAGTATAATGATTATTAGGGTAAGTTAACTCAGTAGTGGTCTGGGCGTGCAGACGGTGATCCGCAACGTGTGCGGCGAGCCCACGCTGGTCAACGACGAGCCCGTGTCCGTGGCCGCGCTGCGCCACCGCGACGTCGTCGCCATCGGCGGCCGCCAGCTGCGCTGGGACTACGCCCGGCCTGCGCGGAGACACCCGCAACCTGGTATATTCTATATTCGCACATTTAACACCACACGCACGAGATCTTCTTCCTGCCTTCTTACCCAAGGTATTTGAAGGCGGGCCAATATGTTTTCTCCATCACCACAGATACACAGTACCATCACCAACCATGGAAAATCATGTCATCCTTGTGAAATTGCATAATGTAACTAACAAGGCTTTGCCACGAATATTATGTTTTTGAGAGGGTAGAGAAACATTGAGAACATTGCTTGTACCGTGTGTAGTGCTGGCGACGTGGAAACGACGCAGCCGTGGCGGGGCCCGGGGCGGGGCCCGCGGGGCGCGGGGCGGGGCCCGGTCAGGCCCGCGGGGCGCGGGGCGGGGCCCGGCCGCGCGGCCCGCGCCGTGCCTCGGGGCCCGGGCCCGCGCCCGCCAGGGACCCGGCACTGCGCCTCGCCATCGAGATGTCGCACAGAGCCTCTATGCCCGGTACGTACTCCTTCATTCCGACATCTTTTTCCCCTTTTTAGTTTCATAATATTTTTTGTTTATTAGTTAAATCTTATTTAACAGGTAACGCTGGCGGTAAACAAGTAGCTATAGTGCAGCCTCAGAGAAGAGATACGAGTGATCAAATTGGTAAGAATTTGATATCAAACGCGCAATGTTAGATATTAGATGCGTGCTGCTAAATATGGTTGTTGAGTTACAGAATTGTTTGTTCTAGACAACAACCCGTCGCGGTCGCCGCTGCCAAGTAACAAGCGTCCCAGATCTTCTAAAAGTGATACAGACACATCACTCAACGATACAGAGGCCGACAAGGCTGTACGCAAGTCTAGTGCACGAGCCAGTCTCAAAAGTCCAGTGTCCAATTTGCAGAATACTACAAAGGCAACGCTGTGGATCGAATCCCGCAAGCCTAGCGCCAGAAAGACTACTCCTAAGCAGGCCAGTCCCAGGCAGGTTACACCTAGGCAGGCAGCACTGAGGCAGTCGACCCTTAGACAAGCTACTCCCAGACAGGCGACCCCTAGGCAGACGACCTCCAGACAGGCATCTCCTAGGCAAGTGACCTCCAGACAGGCAACACCTAGGCAGACGACCCCCAAACAAGTGACCCCCAGAAAAGCGGGCAAGGTGGCGAGCACTGGCAAGAAGAGTACTCCACTGCGCCTCACCGTACTGCGCCGGGCACAGAGCGCCCACAAGCACTCCGTGGACAAAATCGAAGGACCGCGTGTCGTGGGTGAGTACATTCACGTCTCCGGCTCTCCTAACAAAAACACGTGTACACATCGATTCTAGATTTTATAACCTACGTACACTTGCAAATTTCGGCGGTGTCCTTAAATTCAATGAAGTCGGTAAATATGTATATCGGCGCGATAACTCCCACTTTAGCGCCTCACTAACTGCGGCGGCGTCATTCATTATCATACATTCGCGCCGAGAATCGGTCGCAAGCGCATACCGATTTACATAATATTACGTAATCAAGCATCAGCGGCGGTGCAGTCTCGTCGCCTTCACATGCTCGCTGAGCTCGTAGTGTCGCGCGCGTAGTGTCGCGCTCGTAGTGTCGCGCGTAGTGTCGCGCCCGTAGTGTCGCGCGTAGTGTCGCGCTCGTAGTGTAACGCGGCGTGTGTTCCAGACGCCACGAAGCAGGCCGCGCTGCGCCTCATGACGCGCCACTCCGCGCTGCCCTCGCCCGCCGCGCTGCCCTCGCCCGCCGTGAGTACTGGATGATACACTATATGACTAGGTGCATGAATGTGATATAAGCTAAGGAAGTATGTAAGGATCATACTAGGTGGCGCTCAACACCACTAAGCTTTCCAATTGAATTCGTAGTTACATAACAAATCAATCTGTTCTGCTTACCCCTCTGAAGAGCAAGATGTATATTGTTATGCACAAATTTTTATTATCTTTGGTTTACTTTACTATGCTATGGCATGACCGAATATAGAATCATGACGCCATCCTATTAACAATAAGAAAAAGCTTATGTCTAAAATATAAATATTAAGTAATTTAATATATAAACATGCAGCTTACAACATTTGTTTGTATACTGTTCATAATATTCGACATGTATTTTTCTTCTTTCATTGAATCATAAATTCGCGACGCTGTCTCTACATTGTTTTCAAATGACGTCACTTTTATGTACAGAGACAAAGTATAGGTACATTAAACTTCATTAAAGTAATTTACGAGTGATGTAGCTTTTTCTCATTTAGACAAATATCAATTAGTTCATTATGTGAAAGGCTGACTTTAGTAATTATGACACTTTATATGTGATATTGAGTAGTTTTGCAAAGAGTTTATATTTTTTCTCAGGCTACCATTATAGAATTAACAGATTCAGAAGGAAGAAATTCATCACTGCGGGCAAGTAACGTATCCCGGCGATCGGGTAAGAGTCCCAAGAAGTCACCTGCCGCCGTCAGCCCGAGGAAATCCGCACTTAAAGATCCTTCAGCGAAACGAGGAACACGAAAAACCGAATCGATAAAGTTCGACCTGAGTAACTTGGAGAACCATTCTGAGGACACTCAGGACGTCATGATGGTCAGCGACCTCAGCTCCCAGTCAGCTCACAGCGCCTCTTCCTCCCTTGCACTGCACTACTCCCCCGCGTCCCCCAGGTCCCCCTCGTCCCCCGCCGCCCGGCCCGCGTCGCGCGGGGCCCGCCTGGTGCAGCGCGCCCTGCAACCCCACAGCCCGCGCTCGCCGCGCCCCGGCCTCGAGTCCTACTCCATCGTTGACTTAGTCTCCATTGATTCTAACGAGTCTGCCCGAACCTCTTCAGTGTATGGCTCCCCGGCATCTACTGACGTGACGACTTTTGAGACTCCACAAAATAGTACAGGCAGGAGAACGAGATCGACTATAGACCCGACGCTGCTCGGCTCCAGCACCCCTTACGTGAAAGGCAGGCCATCCACCGCCAAGTCTCGCTCGATGGTGAGTGTCGATATATCGAGCCGACCTTCCATGACTACACAGTCGACTCTTAGGAGTTCAAGATCAAGACGATCCAAGTCGTTGTCGACCCCGGAGAACTCGGAGGAAGCTAAGAAACACATCTCCGTGAACAGCACGCGCATATCCCGCGCCGCGCGTGGCAAGTCTCGCCTGCAGGACACCGCCGACACCGCGCTCAGTACCGCCAGCCCCGCCAGCCGCGCCAGCCCCGCCAGCCCCGCCAGCCCCGCCAGCCCCGCCACTACCCTCCATGCAGACAGTACAGTGTCCCCGCGCACGTCGCGCGCCTCGCGCTCCGTCCGCAGCCCCGCGCTCGACGGAGGACTGTCCACTCCGGAGAATGTACACAGCCCCGAAGAAGCCAGCACGCCAGTTCTTAGTATACAGAGCCTATTGGATTCCAGCACTTCTTTCATTGCACATAAACCTACGAGAAAAAGTAGACCTTCATTCAATACTAAAAGAAAAACTATTGGAGGAGTTCCATCCAGAAGTAGAACTAGAACCGATGCCATATTTAAGTCTTTGAGTTTTAATACAGGAAAAGCTAGACTGAGTGATGATTCCGTGGAGATATTGAACAACAGGGATGAAAGTGAAATAGTGACGCCGAAGAGTGCCGTTAAGTTAGTACAAGAAGCCGTAAAGAACAAACACTCGACAGCCAAAAAGCCACAGTCTAAGCGTTCGATAATAGACGATTTGAACGAGTCCGATATTGTGAAGCAACTGTTCAACAGTCCCGTGAAACGGAAGCTATCGCAGAGCATGACGGAGTTCTCCAGGAAACAGTTGTTTGAGGAGGACGAGTCGTCCCAGGCCCGGCGGCCCGCGCGGAACACCGTGGCGCTCACTGGGCGCACGCCCGACCACTCTCTGCTCGACCACACCGACTCCTACACGCCAGAAATATTCGTCAGCCCCATCAGCACTCCCACTCGAAGTCCTAGTTTAGAGGGCATCAAACTTATGTTCGCCAAAACTACTCCCGAAAACGATTTACGAAATGTGAAAGGAGTGAAGGCTCTACTGCGCACACCTCGCACCAGGAGATCTATCAAGAATGACCTGAGAAATGTATCGGGTGTTAAGAACGTATTTGCCAAGAGTCCTAAAAACCGACTCAGTGATGTCAGAGTCAAAGAAGTATTTGCATCTTCGCCTAAAAACGATTTGCGTCGCGTGACCGGCGTGAAATCCCTGTTCCAAACTACTGAGAAACGAAGGTCGCCTAGAAACGAGTTAGACGATGTGGTAGGCGTGAAACGGTTATTTAAAAAGACTAGCCCGGCGAATGATCTCCGGAACGTGTCTGGAGTTCGCAGAGCTCTCCGTAGAAATAGTCCGAGGAATGAGCTCGAGAACCTGCATGGCGTGAAGCGAATGTTTGCGAGAGACGCGAGAGACGACTTGAACGACGTCAGTGGGGTTGAAGAGTTATTTAATTTGTCAAACTTATCTGTGTCCACCAGAGCCGAGAGTTTGTTTGATCAGTTAGTAGGAAAGCCTCAGATGAAGGCGGTGTATTCTAAAACATTTTCTAAGAAAACCCCTGTCAAGACAAATACTTACAAATCCAAGTCATTGCACGCTTCCCTGGAGCAAGTACCCAGTACTGACGACTGGCTACAACAAGAGCTCAATAAACGACAGCAGGTTAACACCTATCTCCAGTCTCTAAACAACTCCGTTAATAGATCTAAGACAAGAAAATCAAAGTCGATACACACGTCTTTAGACCAAGTCACAAATGTCGATGTGTTGCTAGATCAAGAGTTGAACAAGGAGCAACAGATCAATAATTATTTGGAATCCATTAGATCGGTTGATAACTCTCAGGTCAATAAATCTAAAAGGAATCAGTCCGCAGCCTCCGACAAGGCTTATGCGGCGATGGCGAATGTGACCCGGGAGCTACAGAAGTTGGTGACAGAAACTGTCGAGGGACACACGCCGACGTGCTCGTCGCGGACGAGGAACGGCAGCCTCGCGGCCGGCGACAGCTCGCAGCGCAAGAAGTCGGCGTCGCAGCTCTACAGTGCGCACAAACTGCCCATCAAGAAGAGGTCGCTCGTGGACGTGGCGGGGGCGGGGCCGGCGCCGGGGCCCGCGGCCGCGCTGTCCCTGCCGCTGAAGAAGCGCGGCGTGCAGCACTCCACGCCGCTGAAGGGCCGCGCGCCCACGGCGCCGCGCGCGCCGCACTCGCCCATCGCGCGCGCCGCGCCCGCCGCGCCCGCCGCGCGCGCCCACCTGCCCGCCTCTCCACACCGACACAGGTGAGCACTGACTTTGCTCGAGCCTA